CCTGGGAGTGCATAGATGGAAAATACATAGAAAAAGACACGCAGGAAAGACTAGGAGGCATAACACATAAGGCAGTAAGTTTGCAGAACCTCTTCATACTGTTTTCTCCTGTACCATATCAACCTGTTCCTCACAAGGAATAGGTCACTCGTCAAGAATACCAATATATTTATAGCTTCCTCTTTCTTTCTCACAAGCAAGTACCTCACTCTTCCTATGTTATTCCCACATACTGTCCAACTGACAGATTTTTTTGACTCTGTCTACACAAATATTTGTCCACGCTGTGTTTTGGCTATTTCTGCATGAGTTGTTCTTAATGAATAGTCAAATTCAATAGTCAAGTTACTCAAAAAGCTACTGCTGCCTGATTTCCAGTTACTGCTCCCCCGCTGAGACACTGTAGCCAACCATGTAACCATGATTTCAGGGTTTATATCTTGCATTAAAAAGGAATAAGGTGGAGCGCTTACTGGAATCTCCCACAAATACAAGAGCTTGAAATAAGTCCGTAAGAGGGAATCTCCCTCTCCCAGTGAAGATGTTCATATTCCATCACACTATCAGATGCTAGATAAATCTGTATCACAAAGTCTTCCCATCCCCTGTGTTGTAACTGACCATTTGCAAAGAGCAGATGCTTCCTCTGTCTTCCCCTGAAGGCATATCAACCACAGATGACCACAAAGTGCAGCATCCTGAAATTGTTCCCTAGCTCAGGCTACTGTTCACACACCAAATTTCTGTTCAGGCATCTCAGTTGCTTCCAATCAGATCCCAATGTCAAACTGAACTCTTTATCTCTAACTCTGTGAGACAGTGCTGATCTCAAAGTCCAGAAGAAAGTGTACAGGAGCTTAAGACACGACATACTTGAGGCAGAGAATCAAGCCAGGGCACTCTTCCAACAGAAGTCAAGTGAATACAGGCTTCTACCACCTTCAGGAAACACTTCAAAACTCTTCTTTCCCAGCAACAGCTATATTCATTAATACATTTCCTACTCCTTTCTGCACCTTCTCATCACCTTTTGCATAGTGCTGGCCAAAATGCCTGGAGAAGCTTGCGAGGGGAGAGCTTGGCATCCATGGTCTGCTCCCACACCAGCCCCCCCCAGGGCCCTGCCATGACTCCTGGGCTCCTCCCAGCAACCGAGGGTGCCCTCCAGGCCCCTCCGAGCCACGGCCTGCGCTGCATCTGCCGATGTGAACCTCCAACCCCCTCCCCGCTCCTGCTTCAGGATCTGGGTCCCCGCACCCGGTTCCGTTTGCCGCTCAGCGCCAGCAGGCCCTTACAGGGACCTGCCCTCCATTTTGTACCCCCAAGCACACCCTTCGATCCTGCCTCCGTCAGAGCAGCTCTCAATCACGATGCTGCAGTGAAAAAGGTGGCAGAAACTCGGAGAAAACTGGGGAGGGGGGGAAGGGCCTTGCACATTTTTGCGTTTTTCATTTTAATTGGAAAATCTCAGACCCCACAGCCAAGCGTGGAAAACACAGAGCTGAGGCGACGGGTCAGTCCCTGGGCGTGGTAAACAAAGA